TCTTCAAGAGGAAGTAATTTCATCTATTAACCCAAATATGTAAGACCATTATAAATTTAATAGCGTTAGCGAATACAGTTACTACGAGACTATAAAATACGATTTTAGTTAAAACTACTAACCCGTGCACACGAGAGTAGATACAGTAATTACGCACAATTGAAAACTAATCCTTGGAGGCGAGGTACGATTGAAAACTAGGTACAGTCCAAACTCCGTACATATAGGCATTATAACTGATTATCTTTTAATTTTATTTGACGATCTTGGATAAAAGATCAACAGAACTGGTTTTAGTAACAAGTTACACAAACACAATACATCTCACGTTATACTACGTTCAATAGAAAACATAAGCACCCACATATGCGTCGTCTGGTTGTAAAACAAAAGATAAGAAACTAAACTATTCGTCTGGAAACATTCAGTGCCATATTATGCGCGCCATTTGACACCCGTTACTTCATAAGAAAGCACACATTACCTCAATAAATTCCTTAAAGCTGTCCACATTGATGAACATAATTCCAAACACAATACACTCGCGGTCACCGATACATTTACCGAACTTGTAACAAACTAGAGAGACTCATTTCAACGCCCGTCCAAGATAATCGTGCTTCACTAGTGTCCATAGTCGTGTTGTTATCAGTTCAGTAATGGCGTCTCTTATCACCTTCCCCTCCCTTCAACAGTTACAGCGTAGCTATTTGTACACATGTGGTACAGAACTACAAAACAGCAATGAGTTAATAACACACACACGCAGTTCCTTGATAATGTACCAATGTTTGCACCTAATCATGTTCATGAGCAACTAATCTCCTCAAGTATTACAAGACGAAGTAGCTGGTGTTTAAAGAACATGCACACATTCTAAGTTATCAGAAGGAATACATTTTATTGAAATCTATTTTAGTCTCCTCAGTAGCACTGCCACAGTATTTGACAGATACATGGCGATTGTATGCCCTTCAGTATTTGCTCAGTGTAGTTACTGCTTTACCAGTTACGTGCGGTGTACCATTGGAATTTTTGATCATCGGTATTGAGGCATTTAATGCCCTGTTCGTTGCGCGGTATTGCAATGTGCAATGTACGCGGTACTGTCGACTGTCGCGGTATCCGGCGGGTGGCTGGCGGCCGGCGCGGCGTGTGAATGACACAGTGTTGCCACATTGTGCAAGGCCAGCTGCCACTGCTACCTAGATACCTCACTGCCTCGTTCGCCATCCCAACTGCGCTCACAAATTAATTAACCAACCTCTTTATCATCTTCCAACTACTAGTTCCTCTAGTACGCGTTTTCATTGCAACCTTTCAAAAGTTTGGAGCTTTAGTGAATTTCCATTTCCCTATAGGGAAGTGGCTATTATCGTAGGTGGAGGGTAAGACCTAAGCCCGGGATCGATTTACTTTTTCATTTTGATGTCCCCGCCCCAGAGGCCAAAAACTATACGTTCAAATTGTTATATAAAAAGTGTATAGGGCCTATTTAGTTGAAGATATATCAAACTATATATAAATATATAATACGCTAAGCCAATTTTTGTGAACAGAACTCCTCCCTCATTTTTGGACCGATTTTGATTATTGAAGTGTCAAAAGGATAGCCCTGATCTGTACTTTTGCAAAGTGTTTTTATTTATTTTTATTTTTATTAGTTCGGGCTGGATCTTCCATCAAAGATGGGGTTTCTCCCATAAGATTAACATGGGGGAATCTAAATATTTCATTGGAAACTTTGTCTCCACTAGAAGAGACCGGCTGGGCGTATAAACTTGGTAGAGGTGTCCAAAGAAAGGTCTTAGTCTGTAGATGAGTTATCAAAAGAAAAACAAAGTAAATTCCCTTAATTAGGGTTCTGCCCCAGAAGCCTTTAAAAGATTCCTCCACAGATCTGTTTACATTTTGGCCATGTGTGGATAGGCTAATACTTTTTAATGAAACAGCTGTTAATTTTTAAATTGTATAATTACAACACACATGTATTGAGAGTTACTGAATTGTCCAAAGGAAGTATTTGCAATGTTATTTTCTTGAACTCTTAGAGAGCCTTTGAATGTTATTAGACTAATGATAAAATGGTGCATGTTTACTAGCCGTACAAAAAATTTAATTTATCTCTAAAAAATATATTCCTAAAGTGCATTGAGCAGCAGCCTAAAAAATACTATGTAACTTCCTCATATAGTTACAAAATGTTACGAAAAACATATTGACCAGAGTAAAATGACGATTCAACTTATTTTTGGAAATTATTCCAACAAAACACTAATTGGTTTGAATTGACCAAGAGCGTAAGTAATGTGAACAAAATTAAAACAATATCTACTAATCTTTTTAAAACCACCAAAAGTCTCAGAAACTTTACAAAATAATTTTTCAACTGCATGACATAACCTGGGACTTTTGAATGCATACACAAAACGAATCTCACATACTACATTCAACAACAACAACAATATGAACGTCTTTGATGTGGCGAACACAAGTAAATAACATCAAGAGAAAAATATCGAACGAAGCTCTATTTTAACTATACTGGCAATGGTAAAATTAAGATACATTCGAATAACATTGAGTTACACATTACGACAAAATAACAAAACGGATCTACCGACCGTAATAATGACCGTGGTAATGTAGGCCTACACTAAGAAAATGTCTTGTCATAGATGAAGTAATATAATATATTAATATATTTAGTCATATGTTTGTAATTTATCAATACTTCATCTACGGTCTTGTGCTACAACGGAATACTTCACGATTTACGATACAGGAATGTTGTAAAGTATTCTACATTTTGAACATTGTTTTTATGATAGCTGTAGATATATAAAAATAAAAAATAATATTTGAAAATTGTTTTAATTTCTTTTAGGCCTAGTTAGGCATACTTTGTTAGATTTATAGCATTGTGCATTCTTTTAAACTACCTATAAAGTTAAGAATTACTAATATTCGTGGCTTATCTAGGCTATATAAATAAAATTAGAGTTTTGTCTGTACATTGCTCAGACTTGTAAATATTTAGGCTATTTTTATGTTTTATACATTAAAGAAGCTGAAACAAGTTTATCTCTATTTCTGTCTGTCTGTCAATCATAGCCAAAGAGGCATTTTACACTGCCTTCTCCCAAAAAACGATAGAACCTATCAAGATCCAAATCATTTAAATGTATTCACTGGATTGGCAAGAGTGTCTTTAGCCATTAAAATATGGCCTCAATACTTCATAAATTAAATTACTGACGTTCAAAAACGCAGTTTTGAGCAATTTTTGTCATGTTTTCTCCCAATGTTTATCACATAACTTATTCATCTATGAAATAAAGAACAGATGTTCGGATCAAGATTATTTTTTTCTAGCTGTCACTGATATGTTTGTACATTATTTGTTGTTTAAATACCGCAAACATTTCCGATCACGTTGTGAAAGTCAATTCTAACCAAGTGAGATTAAAAACGTTTTTATTACATAAACTTGCTTTTCCAATGCGTCACTTTCTGTTATTTCTCACCGCTATGTGATGCAATCGCTGGATCATACAGCCAATAGGCCCTTAGCCCATCTCTTGGGCACTTAGGCTCCTAACCAATTATTCATAACAACCTTTTCGACAACGATCCTTGTTACCGGTATTTTTACCTAGAATACATGGCCTACCTACTTAGGAAATAAAATTACAAACGTCCAAAAACCCAACATTGTGTGGCAAAACAAACTATAAATGCCTAATGGCCACATAGTTAGGCCACCATGATTAAAAATACAGTTCTAGGATATACAGTAGGTAAATGTACTTCGGTACCTACTACAATGGTTTGTTGCGAAATTGTAAAACATCTGTTGCCTCAGTGCTAATTAGGCCTAAATATTTTAAAACCCTCAGGAGCAGTTTGGATTTTTAAGGTTTCTGATTTTTTACGTTACGATTTTCGATGCTCTACTGTAGTTTACCAGTGAAACCAATTCTATCCTATTTTTAACCCAACATATCATCCTCGTATTCAAACTCTTTTAAATCAAAATGGGACTTTGAAATGTTACAAGTAAAAGGTTGTAGGGTTAGGTTGGAACAGTTTCATTTTGATATTTAAAAGTTATAATTCACATAAAATAATAAATATTTTTAAAATGGTACGGTACTAGGTTAAATTAGGACCTGGAGCCGGGACTGATTACTTTTTCATTTTGATGTCCCTAACTTAGAGGCCAAAAATACTTTTCTTTCAAATTTTTATATATGTCGATACACGTCTGTGAAATCAATAACTTGAGTTAAATTTAGGTACTGGTAGTTTTGATAAAAAATTCGGTTTGAAGGTTTAAGGCGGGATTAAACTCGAATGAATGAGTTTGAGAACCAGCATGATCGGACTATGGGAACAGAGTTTATTGGGGTAAAAATTTTTTTTTTTATTTTTGACCCTCATTTTATTAGCCTCCCTGTAATAGCAAACCTAGGTACTCGTTAACACTAATGTAGGCTAATTAAAAATACAGGCAAATGGAAATCCGCTTAGTCTGCAAGTTTGCTGCAGCGGGGGTATTTGTGTTTACATGTTGTAGTTCAGGCCAAGGGGTTTTGTTTGTTTTGCATCGCGTGTAAACAGATAACTTAACAGCTTTTTTCTCTCCACACACACTTTCCTCCCCTAAGTGTCAGTCACCATTAGAATTCGCCTAAACCACCATCAGAACCGCTGATTGACACTTAAATTTGTGATTTTTCATTTAATATTTTAAACACTTTTGCCTTCTGACAAAAGATTATTGCATTTTTGAATTCAGCGTGAATAAAAACTGTTTCAATTACTGGTAAGTTTGATATAGGCTATAAAAATAGATTTTAATCAGTGAAAGTATATGGTACTCAACTTTTAACCCTTTATTCTCTACTCTGAAATGCATCAGTATCGGTGAGTTGAATAGGCCAAGGAGCGCCTAAGTTACTAAATCATAACGGATAATGAACAAAGATGAAACATACCTTGGCTGGTTCATTATGTTTGTCTGAAGTTCTCTTCTTCCTAGCACAAGACTTAGGCGTTTTAAATGTTTTATCGTCGTCTTCTGAGCGCTCTTGTTTGAGAATATCATCACTTGGTGTTCCAACACTTTCACTTTTAAGTTTCTTTACTTTTGGTTTTTCAGCAACTTGTTCCACAGCCTTATAAAGTTTACCATCAAGCACTACCAAACCCTTGTCAACTGCTCGCTTTGCTGATAATCTTATCACAGTACTCAGATCAACATCCGGATCAGATAGTTCTAATGTATGTGATTGCTGAATGTATTTCTCAATACTTTTTAAACTAGAACCATCATGTTCTTGAAGTTCCCGAGCTGCTCTATATACTACTTTGGATAAATCAGAATCTTTGGTTATTTTTAATTGCCTTGTCTGTTGTACTCCACCAGGGTCCTTATAAGTATTCTGGCCTTTATTAAAAACTTTGAGAACTGTTCCAGCATTGACCAACTGCTCCAAGTATTCTCTTATCACCTCTTCGCTGTGGGGATGGTGTTGACGCACAGCATGACAAATTCTCTCGGCAGAAGGTCTCTGTTTCTGGGCTCGGATTTTGCGTATTGCGTCTAAAATCCATTTTTCCCAATCTGATAAGCTAACATTAACCTGTTCTCTCATTTTTATTTAAACCTACATCAAAGCTCTTAAACGTAAATCCTACCCGGGTACAAGGGGAGTTGATATGTCCTTTATGAATGTAGGCAGCATTGCTACCATTTTAAACTAGTACACTTTACACTTGTCACATTTTTTATATTCCATCCACCGATGCACATGAACTTTCCAAGTAAAGGCCATTAGTTTCCTGCAGGATAGGCTAGCCGTCAGTATCAATTTTACACCTGAAACAACAAGGAAAGATTAAGCTTAGCTTACTGTAGGCCTACTGTCAGTTGCTTAGAAGCCAAAATCTTTTATTTAACTTAAGTTAGCCTAAGTTTACCGTCAGCAAGGTTTCTAAGTTAGTGTTACAAATTATTTGAAACATAGGACTAATTTTCAATAGGCCTAAGTCGGTTTATGTTTAAGTGATAACTTTAAAAGTTATTGAGAGGATTTGCTAATATTTTTAAAAATGTCTTTTAATCTAAAACAGTTCTAAATGACTTAGTTTGTAGGTACCTTAGTTAATAACTTAAGTTCTTGAGAAATCAAGAAGAAAACTAGGTGACAAATTCTTGACCTACCGGGTACCTACTAACATTCTGTCACTAAGTCACAGTTCGGCCAAAACTTCTGTGCGCGTGGATGGGTTGCTACTAGACGAACTAAAACATACGGGTACCTGCTATTGGCAGTGCTGGGGGTAGAGGTGAGTGAGTAGTAAGACAGAAATGTTTTCACAAAAGTACCCCCGCCAACCCTCTCGACTAGACCCAACCAGATCTGGTCGCGCGCACAGAAACTTTGGCCGAACTTTACATGTGTGAAATAGACCAATCCGGTGTCACAATTGTTTTCTTCAACAGACGAATAGTTGATGTACCGGGCATAGGTTTATAGCCTATCAAATAATCAATATATCGATCGATATTTTCATTCAGTTGTTTGTGCCAACCAACAGATATATGGAATTCTACCCGGTTTAACAAATAAGCTCTAGCCTATTCCAAATGTTTTTAAGTGTTGTTAAATGAATTAGCAGTCACCGCTGCTGGCGTTTGGGCTGTTTACCTTAGGCATAAGTTCATAACGTAAGCTTTAAATAAATTACCTATACATTTCTATTAAATTCTAAGCCTAAGTTAGGCTACCTCGGTCAGTGTTCCAAAGTTAGGGGGGTTTAATTCCCATGTTTTTATCATAAGTTAGGCTCTGTTTTAAATTAACTTATTTAAATTAGGACTCCCACTAAGTTTACCTACTTATAGGCCTAAGTTAGCCTAGACTATAAAAATATTGGTACTATAACTTAGCCAATTAGGGAAATTACGAACAACTTTAACTTTTGTTTACAACCATAACTTAAGTTTATGTTGATGGCGGACGTGGATTAGGCGTCCGGCAGTTAAGTACTGTCATAACCTAACCAGCCAGACTTGCTGATACGGTAATGAAAAAATCCGGATGAAGTTTAAATTCTGTTCATAAAATAAAATCATAAATGCCTCAAATTCTAACAAAAGATGTTCTAAGTTAAGAAGAAATGGTATTCTAAGCAAAATCTTTGACAAAAAGTTAGTGACACCTTTGAGATTCAATCTACTTAGGCCTAGGTACCTCTTGAAAATTAGCCGAGTAGGCTACTCTAACTTATCCACTGCACAATGAACACCGACGGCATTCCACCGTATCGTTGTGTTAATGGTCTTCCGAGCCCCCACGACCAGGTGACGTCACTGCCAGACGCCTAAGTTAATCCACGCCGGACGTGTATCCTTTGCGTATGTTGATTTTAAATTTCAGTTACCTTAGGCAGGCTTATTTTCCCTATAAAAAATTAGGCTAACTTAAATGAAACTGCTTACTTATCTTACTTAATTACTGTAAAGTTAATTAACTTAAGTTAGCCTATATACTTATTCCAGTTTAGCACAAAATTCTTAGTTTGTGGTAAAAATAAGTAAAAAATTAAGCCAATTTATAAGGTTGTGGTAACTTAACTTAAATACGATAAGTTAAGTTAGGTCAAGGCCCTGACTCCTAATACCCTCGCTTAATATGAAAAAGGTAAGTTACACTTAGGTAGGCCATTACCCTAACAAGGGATCGTATCTTACTTAGGCCTAACTTAAGTTAAGTTAGGCTATGTTAGGTGAAGAATTAAAATAATTTAACTTTGCAGCAAATTTGATAGGTCTTGCAAGTTATCATAATCATTCAAATAACTCAGTCTATAGGATGAATCTTGGGCATAGGCTAAACTTGTTGGCCCAAGATAACTTAGTAGTTTAGGCCTATAGGGCCTAAGCTACCGCCTACAAAACATAACAGAGCAGATATAAATTATGTCTACCAGGCTAATTTCATGTAAGTTAATTGAATTGATATTGATTGATATTCTCATACCTATTGCCCACCCTACGGAAAAGTAAAGTGACCTTACGATTTAAGTTACCGCCAATCTGATATTTCCGTGTCCATCCATGGTCAATAGCCAACGAACGATATCCAGTCGGCATTTGTGTATTCAGCTCCCCTCTATGATTTGTATTAATTTGAAGATGATCAATAAATCAACCAAACAATTCAAATGTCCGTTTAAAATTATTGTCGGCATTAAAAATCTACAGTTAATAATTAAAACACCTAATAACTTAATTAATTGTGATTAATTCGCACTTCACCAACGGCAAAAACGTCAGATGACAAGAAAGCGGAGCGCCGAGTACACATCATACGATTTAATCTATTAGGATAGAGTGCATACCTAGGCCTAAAAGAGACCATATAAAGATGTATTTGGAAAGGAACAATTTAATAAAACATAGTTGGTTTAATATAGTAATATTTAGAATCATTATGTATGATGTAAAAATAAAGACAATTGAACGGGAAGTTTATCCTCCATCTTAATTCTCTGCACAGCGGAACACAACGATTTGTTCTAAGAAATGTAAAACAGATTCACTTCAACTTACGTTGTTGACAACAATGTGTTGTGATTCACATATTTGATCTAATAAAATGTGCAGTCGAAATAATCCAGAACCAAGAGCGAGAATAAATTTCACTAATCGATTTATGAAATATTGAAGAACACAACATCACTTCACTACACCACTTTGTTTCAAAACATTCTACTGACAGACAAGATGGCGGGCCAATAGCGACTGGCTACCGCGCATCCTACGGCAAGGCAATGTACCAATAGGAAGATGTGAAATTCAATCACATCAAAACACTGAAAACACTCCCATCACCTTGTAAAGAAGCATTAACTTACAAGTAGTAGACATTTATTATTATTAATCACCAGGATTAAACACTTAATTTGAGAATGGAACTGTGAAGTTTGTGAAATGTACAATATCAAGCTAACGAAGTAAATGAAGAAAAGGAAAAAAAATATGATTCTACCTTTTAATATTTCAAGCAAAATTTCAAAAATTGAGGTGATTGAATTGTTTATTGGTTCTAGAGGAACATTATCATTATCATTTTTTGTGAACTTTAGGAAACAATATGATTTGGACAGATCCTTTTTGAAAATTATTATTTACTAGTGAACCTGTGCGGCTCAATGCCCCGCAAAAACATATGAATTCAGGAAACAAATTCATCGTGTTATATATTGGCTCGTCGAAAATTAAATACAGTAATAATAAAGCATTAGCAGGGAAGCAATCCAGCCATTTTCTCGCTGTATAATAATAAGTGTTCAAGTTCAAGTATGTTACAGGGTGGTTATTTTTTTAAGATCTTTAAAAACACATTTAACAAAACATTTTATCATATCAAACCAATAGGCAGTGAATGTAGCATATACCTATGTAGCATATTTTGAGGGTCATAAAATGCTGCTTGAAGAAAACACTTTTTTTCACAAAATCACTTCCATAAATACTACGATTTTAGTCTTAAAGTTACCTTCAGGAATATTACCCTGGTCAGAATTTTCCGTAATGAATGTGCTTATCCTACTATTAAAAGATGTAGCCTTACTTAAAACAACATATACAGTATATAGTTGCTCATGACTGAAATTGGTCTGGCTAAGAACATTGCTGCTCTTTAATTAAAGTGCTTGTGCTGCAAATGCCAAAGATAACAGAAATTAGCATCTTTCCATTTTAAAAGGTAACTTTGTTTCAGACGGGCAATTTTTTTATCCTCGAAATCAAAATATTTCCTTACTCACTTGTTCCATGTTAGGACTTTACATTCTACTTTACATTGTTGTTAACCGTTCTAATCACATGAAGCCTTGTGCCATTAATGAGGCCCTTTTTGATGTATTAATATCAATAAAACTACTGCCTCCTTTTATTAGTATAATCTGTGTCTTGGCAATCTACTGACCTCTATATTTAAAAACTCAGTTGGATTTTCTAGATGGGTGCCTCTGCCTTCGACTGTTTTCAAGGACCCACTCTTCCCCTTGGCATACTGACAATTAATTACCTAACTTGTAAAGTTCATGTAGTAATTCATAAATACTGTTAGTTTATAAAGAAAATTAGATAAAAGTGAAGATCTTGTGGCTTGGTGCTTTCATAACTGCAAACTCAAAATACACCCACAAGTAAAGAAGAATCAAGTTATTGGTAAAAAAAAACTATGTTTGTGTAAAAACATTATTCACATAAAGTAGATGATTTGTTTGATTTCTTGATCAGCTGTTTCGTTTCTAATGAATTATTAATGTTAAAGATTTGTGATTTTAAATAGACATAAATTATTATTAGTAAAGTTTTCTAAATATGGTAACTTATTTTCAACAAAATCTTACTATTCCCAGCATGAAAATAAAGTAGTGAGATCCATTATGAGTCAAGTTTAAGGCACACAATCCTTGATTGAAATGTAGTATACATTAACAGTCATAATACACAGCAATTATTATGTAGTAGACTTTGACTATTTTCAAGTAACAAACATATGTTTCTGTAAATAAAAATTATCTCCCTTGTTATCCTTATGGAGAAATACGAAACTTTAAAGGGCCCCAGGGCCTAACTCTCTAATTATTTCCTTAAAAAGAAGGTTTCCTGCACAACTTCACGCTACGCTCTTTCCAATGACACCAAAAACATGTCAATCGGTTCAGTAGTTTCGGAGGAGTAATTGTCACAAAAATCGTGCTTGCGTATTAAATAAGTACGAGTAATGTCCAGTGGTCGAAACTCGACCAAAAATATGTAATGTACTCACTTATGTTAATGTTTCACCCCACACTGTAAATAAAACATGTGATTGGAGTTTCTTCCATTTGTTTTGATTTTCTGTTTATATTTCGTTGTTATTTCGTCACCAGCATGGCAACGCATAAGATCCATGTAAATTTTTTCAAATTTTTAAACTCATTTTTTGCGCTTATCTTTGAGCCTATTTAAATGTATAAAGGGATTCTGCACACCTACAGGAAAATAGCTTTCTAACGGTATGCGTAGATTTTCCCTACGATGCACACGAGCGGAGAAAAAAGGTTTTAAAGAAACATGCTTGCCTATTAATATATAGATAGATGGATAAAGCATTAAGAGGTGATCATCTATATGGCAAACATCAAAATTAATCAGTCTTATAGCTGTATAATCCTTCGATATTTTATGTGTACTATTTTTCTGTGTCATTGGCAACCTTATTTTTTAAGGCAGAGTTATTTATTTTTATAAATAAATTCTTTTCTCTCTTATTATATATTTATATATTTGAATTGTTCATTTAAAATAAAAATAAATGAAATGTGTTTAGTAGGCCTACTCCTACTATAGGATAAATGTACAGCACTTAGTGCTGTATACGTATACCGTGCCAGTTTGATAGATAGATTTATTTGATCATTAAACATTATCAACATCTAAATATACACCGGGTCCCAAAAAAAAACTGATCAATTTTATTTACTTATAAAAAGTTCATTAACAATCACACGATAAACTAATAACATTTTAACTTACACAAATATTCCTAAGTTTTGTATGATATCATATGTGTTAATGATTTTCAACATGGTTGCCATTGTTGGCAAAAAGATAGTCAATACGGCTGTCCAATTCAGCCCACACTCTATGGCGCATTTCGTCAGTAATGTTAGTAAAGGCTGCATTTATTCTTTGCCTCAATTCTCGGACATCGGAAACTTCTGTCTTATAAACTTATAATTTTGACACATTTAACTCACATGCTGCACAGCGACCCACTTAGCACAGAATATCCTCAGGATATCCCACAGAGTTCCCAAAACGTCCCAATATCCCATGAGATATAGGAATATCCCTGGGACATTCCTGGGATATTCCAATATCACATGGGATATAGGAATATCCCTGGAACATTCCCGTTACAATAATTAATTTAATTTTTTGAGGGTTTTTGATCGAGGGACAGGAATATCTTTGGCATATCATCCCTAGAATATCCACGATATCCTTTTTTCATAATTTATTTGTAAAATCCACTAATAACTCAAGTACTTCTCGAAATATGCTACCGAATACAGCTTCCCCACACAGCACAGGATCCTGACCAGTTCCCACATAGATCCCAGGATTTGAGAATGTCCCTAGGATCAGGGCCGTATTTAGAATCTATGAGGCCCCCGGCGGCTCTCACCAGAGAGGCCCCACTCTATATTCTGACTCTTCAAACGTTGGAGCTTAAGGGTTTAGAAATACACATGGTATTGCTTCAAGTCGATCAATTGACCTTTTGTTTCCAACAATCTGATTGAAAGAGTCCTAGGAGACTAGCTAATAAAAGGGTCCATTGATTTCTTGCATTAACGCTGACATGTCATCTCAGTCCCTTCCGATCACGTCGGAATCATGAACGTCTCGACATGTGGCCGCGGGGAAATGGTGAAAATCTTGCGTGAGCGCTGAGACGTTATCTCTGTCTCCTCTGATCGCGGCGGATTCATGAACGACTCATGTGGTCTCAGAGAAATGGTGAACATCTTGCGCGGCTGTGTAGACATCATCATCGTCTCCCACGGTCACGAAAGCGTGATCGTCGTCTTGCGCAATAGTGGCAAAATCATGAACATCTCTCGTGGTCGTGAAGACATCATCATCGTCTCCCGCGGTCACGAAAACGTGATCGTCGTCTTGTGCGATAGCGGCAAAATCATGAACATCTCCCGCAGCCTTGTAGACACAATCATCGTCTCCCGCGGTTTCGAAAACAGGATCGTCGTCTTGCGTGATAGCGGCAAAATCATGAACATCTCCCGCAGCCATGTAAACGTCATCATCGTCTCCCGCGTTCTCGAAAACGTGATCGTCGTATTTTGTGATCGCAGCAAAATCATGAAAATCTCCCTCAGCCATCCTAGACATCATCATCGTCCCCTGTGGTCACAAAAACGTGATCATCGTCTTTCACGATAGGGGCAAAATAATGAACGTCTCCCGCGGCCGTGTAAACGTCATTAACGTCTCCCGCGATTCCAAAAACGTGATCGTCGTCTTGCGTGATAGCAGCAAAATCAAGTTCATTTCCCGTGGCCATGTGGACATCACCATTGTCTCCCGCGGTCACAAAAACGTGATCATCGTCTTTCGTGGTAGCGGCAAAATCATGAACATCTCCCGCGGTTTCGAAAACGTGATCGTCTTCTTGCGTGATAGCGGCAAAATCAAGTTCATTTCCCGTGGCCGTGCAAACGTCATCGTATTTCACGATCGCGGCAAAATCAAGTTCATTTCCCGTGGCCGTGTAAACGCCATCATCGTCTCCCGCGGTCGGGATACAATCTTGGACTTCTTCCGCGATGACGGGCGAATAGAGACAACTCCTACGCTAACGGGGAAATAGCGAGGATCTTTTGCGGTCTCTCAAATTTCATCAACAGCTCCCGCTATCGCTGCGAAAAAGATGATTAGTGAAATAAATTCATCAAGAAAATAATATTTGAGGCCCCAAGTGAGGCCCCCTTCTAGGCCGAGGCCCCCGGCAACCGCCGTGTCCGCCGTTAGGGAAATACGGCCCTGCCTAGGATCACTCTAAGATATTGCACATATCCAACACAAACGAATGCATTTTGAGGATATCCTGGGGACTTCCTATGGATATTCTCGGTAGGCTACCTATATTAAAACATATTTTATAGTATTGGATGTATTTTTTCAAGTGACAAGTGCTTGAGAAACGTTATTAAAAAGTATTTCATTACTATTTCGAATTAAAATAACTAATAACGTTACTAATGATTTATAAAAATGAATCATGTTTTCCGATCATATCCCTAGGACATCCTTTGGAGATCCGTAGGATATCCCCGTGGGGCATAGTAACTATCAAACTCTACATTTTTACCATTTTATAATAATAATAACAATAATACACCTGCTTACAATAATAATAATAATGCAAATATTTTCTTTTTAATTTAAATTCAAACTTATTTAATAAAATTTATTGGTTGAAAATTTAAGGGGAAATATTAATTAATCATATAACAATTATAATCTATATTCTTATTACAGTATCCTCTACAACTCCCAGAAAAACAATTTAACAACTTGATGCCTAAACAGAATCATAGTATCAAAAATATTTAAGTGTTGCAACCATTTCAGCCGTCGGCTCCTCTTTAACTGATTGAAAACTAGTAATATCAACAATCACAAATAGCTCAGGAGGTAAGGTGACTTTCATAAGTCAGAGTTACCCGGTTCAAAACTCGTCTGGGCAAAAATATTTTTGTTTCTATTTTTCCAAAAATTTGTTTTTATGAGCTATTTAATTAAAATACTTAAGTGGTAAAAGTGCTTTTCGGACGAAATATTTATTATTTAGTGATATCCCAGGAATATCCTGGTGGGATATCCCAGGGATCAGGATTTGGGCGGACATAGGGAGTTCCCCAGGATATCCCGAGGACATTGCGGGACATACAGAGGATATCCCCCATATCCCACTGGGATATCCCCAGGACATTCCAAGGATATTCTTGTGTTGTGTGGGGAACAGACTTTCGAGGGTCGTGAAGAAATAATTGTTGCACGTTTTCAATCAATTCATTTTGGATTTTCGGCCTACCTATACCTTTTAAATGTTGCACGCTTCCAATTAACATAAATTTGTCATACCAGGCTCGAATGCTGTTCCGTGATGGAGGACGTCGACAATATAGCGTCTTCTAAATGTTTTTTGCACTGCAATATCTGACTTACTTTGAATATACCACTCAACGCATTGCGCTTTCTCTCGTGCGTTCATGGTGCCTGCTTAATGACAGGGCAATGTTTTTAAATTTCAAGTTTCAAGTGACAACAATGAATCAGCTGATAGTTACAATTGATATTGAACAAAACTTCATGAGCTCAGTTATCATATGATCACCTTCAAAGTAGACTAGGTATGCCTGGACGTATTATATAACAATTTAAAATTGTTCAGTTTTTTTGGGACAGGGTGTATAAAAGGCAAAGCCCTCACTGACAGACTCACTCATTCACTCACTCATCACTAATTCTCCCACTTCCCATTTACCTAGGAGGCTGAAGTTCGGTATACCGATTCTTTGGGCATTAAATAGGAAAACTAAGTAGTTTTTATTCTGATCGGGCTTTCGGGCTCCGCCCCAGTGGCTCTGGAGTTTCCCATGTTTACCTTATGATTTTTATATTTAAAAGGAATTTCTTAACAGCTGTTTCAATTAAACAAGTTGGTTCTGTTCTATGATGTTCAATAGCATTAAAGTTACAAGGAGTACCAACAGGGTGCAGCACATTATTTTTAAATTTATGACTACAGCCAATTTGCAACCAAAAGGTGAGTGAGCGTAGCGAACGAACTTCAACCTGGAAGCGAGTTAGCGTAGCGAACGAGCTAACTGAAGGCAAGTGAGCGGAGCGAACGAGCTCCAACCTAAAGGTGAGTGAGCTAGCGAACGAACTTCAACCAGGACGTGATTGAGCCATGCGAACGAGCTCACTTGTGAAGTTAAACGGGGCAAAGCTAGTTATACATAAAATGCAATAGATCATGTCAATATAAATACTAAATAGTAAACAAGGTAATCAGAGAGATACATGCAATCAAGCTATACATCAATTAAGGTTTACATGCACAATAAATAAGTACAGTACCGGTACCTATAAGATAAATTATAAATAATACAGACAGGCTTACTAAATGAGTGACATATTATGCAAGAATTTTCATGCGGTTAATGAAATGTCTTTATTTGCTTTTAACATGAAAAACATGCATTGCAATCGTCAATGTTAAAGTCACTCATCATATTACAAAGCAAACCATGCAAAAATACAGATTTGAGTGGTACGGTACAAAACCATGCGTTCTACGGTTCTAACATTGACTATACACCTCTACCAGTGTGTATAGTGTTCAATCTAGTAGAGGTGTATATACTCAACAAAACTCTACAAAACTCTACTCACACAATAGGCATACCTTTTTTTAGTCGAAATCCTCAAGTCTGGGTCTCAAGTTTTTCTAAGCCGAGTGGGACTGTAGAAAAATGATATTCCGATGCTTGTGGGAAATCTGTGTGTGCATACCTTCAATTTGAGACCTCAATGATGAAAATCGGTCAGGTAGAAGAGAACAAACTCGGAAAAGAAACCCCAAATTCAACTCCCATAAGAAATACATGGGGAGCGAATTTCGTTGGTTATTCATTGTTGTGAAAGTGTACACAGAAATTAATGTTAAATATTTTGGCATTTTAGTCAGCTCATTCAAATGACCAGAAATATAGTACTAATAAACCTTAAAAAGACATACCCCACTGAAAAACGATAGATGAATATAATATATAGACACATATAATTTTGTGTTTTGAACTTAAAAGTAAATCAAGTGCTATGTGGTTTCCTTTTGTAATTTCTTTGACAGATGACCCCGTTTTATCTTATCGTTGTATTACAACCCAACCAATCTTAGCTATATACACACTTGGATTTAATCCTTAATAAATGTTACTGCAATAAGGTAGAACAGTAGTAACTTGGTAAAAAACATTACATTTTTTTCCCGAGAGAGTGATACAAAGCTTTTGGTAGAAAGGCAATTAATTTTTCAAATGAAGAATTTCTCCCTCAGTTTAATCATAGACAAAAAGAATGAAATATAGACTGTCAGCCGTGCTGCGGTTGCCATGGTTACCATAGGTTCCTGCGCACACCGCTGTAGTTTACGTAGCGCGTACGCCGTGACTACCGTGGTGCTCCAAGCGGTGTGCGCCAGAACCTATGGTAACCGCAGCACAGCTGACGGTCTATATTTAAATCTTTGTCTATGGTTTAATTCAGTAGTCCTGTGTATATCTAATTAGCTTAGGCGATTGGACTATTAAAAGAATGGATTCAATCTTTAATGACTGTTACTATCCAATATAAAGATAATCCAAAATAAACTAAAAGGTCATGTGAGCCCGTAGTAAAGTCATAAATTCAGCCGGTTTATAATAAAACTGAAAAGTATGTTGGGCAAAGCTGACGTGCATCAGCTAGTTGTATTATAAATCTGCTGAATATTTTTTTTGCATAGTCAATGCATTTACATGTTCTTCTGGCCAAATAAATTACTTATAAACATAAAAACTCAATAGTATCAAAGCAATCGATAAAATGAACCATGTCATACATAAATATACATTATAACAACAGTGAGGACAAAAAAACATCAAAAGCAAAAAAGTCAAAATAACAATTTTATTCAGTGTTTGTGTACTACTTAAGTACGTCGCCACGATACAATAATAACGTAACATTACCCAAAAATAAAGCAATTGGTTTTAAATTTCATGTCAACATGCTTATTTATATCCTTATCACAAAAATATTGCAACAGTTATAACTAATTTCAGTTTTTATGAGTACCTATCAAAAATATAGGTTTCATTGAAAGTTTATAAAAGATAATATTAGTATGATATAAATTTCAACAGTTAACAAAAGAAACATGTATTATTTATTTACCTAACTGGTCTTGAGCATACACATAAATTGAATTCCATTTGAGAATCATTATCAAACTGAGGTAACACATTGTTTAATCATATACATTTTTGCACAATACAAAATGCATATATTTATTTTGCCGAAATGCATCTCCTGTACGGTAATAGGATACAGCACATTAGGATCGACCGGCGGACACAGGTAATTTAACCTTTTATTGAATGTCATACCGATCCGGAACAACAACAAACAACATAAAATGATGAAAAATATTGCTTGCACACATAACAAAAAACACATCAGAGCAAAGTTTTGTACTCAGCAAAATAAATACCCAAAAAAACAAGTAGTAGAACCAGTGGGTAATGGGGTGGGAACATGTTACAGTACAAACTCGCTAATCCGCCTCCTACGGGACCAGAACCACGCTGGTTCCGCCATGAGAACGGCAATCCTACTCTGCTTTAACCTTGAATCGTATATATAAGTAGGCAACCCGTGTTTTTTGTCATGACTCATCAATGAATCTAAATGTTAAATAGCATTCAAATAAGTAATAAATCTCCTGCAATGGAGCTAAATGTGAACCTACTCTGGAATTACAGAAAAATTGTGACTGCCAAACCATAGGCCGTCACAGTGAAATCTAGGGGCTTAAAATATTTTCCAAGGTCGTGTCCCTTGGTCGTGGAGACATCACCATCGTATTCCAAGATTAATTTTTCATTAATTATTTTTAATTAGTCAACGCTTTAAATCACAATCTCGAAATTTAATTAAGTTCGCTTTTAATTAAGTAAAGCCAGGCAAATAGAATTGAAATAAAATGTTATAACTTAAGAGGAACATTTTAAAAATTAGTAAACATTTTTATATTGTGCAAATCATAACATCAATCATAACTACAAATCAAACTACTTAAAGACTAGTTTGTGCATAAAACAGGCCACCTTTTAAACTTGCGGCTATTTGATTATTATATTTTCAACAAACAGTAGAACACTACTACTCCGATCTTGACTAGTCCGATTCTTCACTTAATCCGACCATGCTATCCCCTATAAACCTATTGTTGTAATATTGAGACCATTTCCCATGGTCGTACCCATAATAGTATTTCGTGATCGTGGTAAATCCTAGACAAATCTCGTGATCATCGTTGTCTTCAGCGATCACGTAAACTTTATCGTGGTTATCTGTAATCGTGGTAAACTCCTGAATGTCTCCTAGGGTAACAGAAACATTATCAATATCTACCGTGATCATGACAAAATATTTAACGTCTCAAGGGAGCATGGGAATATTATCATAGAGATCCACGATTGTGGAAAAATCCTTGGCAAATCTCACGGACATGGGAAAAAATTCCTCGTCTTCAGTGATTGCAGCGAAATCCTGAATATTCTACTTCTCGGATAATTCGACCTGTACACTGTTCCGGCCATGGTTCCGGTCCCGTAGGAGGTGGATTAGCGAGGTTGTAAGGTTCATTCGACTTCTTAACAAACAACAGTTGTCTAGAGAAAACCAATAGAGGTTAGAGAGTCCAGTCAATCTTTAGCATCGGACAGCTTTTGAAAAGAACACCTAATCGCGAAGCTATTGTCAATCTGCAAAGGTAGAACTATCACTGGGTTTTGAGTTTAGCACTGCCTAGCGTATTTAACTTGTAAAGTCTATTTAAGAGCTAACCATGTATATAAAATGTGTCTTAACAATTACTGTATTTACAATTATTGGTATGCTTGCCCAACTTCCCCTCATGAGAATAACATTTCTAAAAAAAAATTTACAGAGTTTCATGATAATGTACCTGAGTAAACAATTTGTTTGTCATCCTGTCCAAACTGGTTAATTAACAAGCGCAAATATACATTAAATGCCAAATCCAAAAGTAAACAGTATAAAAACTGTTTGTTGCACAACCATCAAAAAGTACTGTAACATTAAACTAAAACTAAATAAATCTAAATAAAACTGTAAAAGTCCAAAACACATAATGTCTTGCAACATAGTAAAAGGAATCATCTAGGCTATTACTTATCTTGGAATTAATGACTGATATACTGGTACAATTAGTTTATTAAGTAATTAAACCAAGTTCAAGATCATTTTTGTTGTGTTGAATAGTTTTTAATGTCTTGATCGATTTGAGGCTTTAAATATTCTTGCTTCGATTCGATTTATTATTTTCTTTTTCGAGAGGAAATACATGTTCTCTGCAAAGCGATTTTGTCTGTAATCAGTAATCAGTGCAAAAAACTAATGATTCCTATCACTATATTGTCGGACGAGTAGTGGATTAGGCTGCACTTCCAATTACAATAGCACTGCTGTTAAAAATGCTGAATGTCACATGAACGTACAGAGAAACTTTAAGTAAAAAACAAATTCAACAATTTTTCATTACAGAAATATTAATTTTTGTACCGTCTCAATCTCTCAATTCTTATCAGACACATATTTTGCTGGTAATTCCATTTCAGAGAGCTAAGAGCTTATTTAATCTATTCAAAAGAGCTTTATGCAAAAAGAAAAATATTAAAATAAAATGATGGGAGTAGAAAAGTTTTTAAAAATAATCAGCTTAGCAAAAACATTATTACCTAAATAAAACAACAACCATAGTACTACTTTATTAAAAAATAATAAATTGAGTTCTATTTCATTATTGGCAAAAATAAAGAATTTGAGAAGACTGGTAGGGTATCTGAACACTATGATTAAAAACAGTAAGCAATCAGTTAAAATTGTCAGTCCTTTAGTTGTTCTGTGTTTGATTTTTTAATGTTTAGCCTAGTCCTATGGTTATTGAGAGTGTAAAAAATCTTTAGAAAGTCCACAGGTATTTGGTTTGAATTTCATACAATGACTCTTCTACAGCATTTTAAATTAATTTCACAATTAGTTCAAAGTTACAATATATATATTTTAGTTTATTTTCCTTTATTTGCATTTCCTCAAAGACCCTAATGCAGTATCCTCCCTCTGTTCCGGCCATCATGGGACTGGAGATCTGATCAGACGATTAAACCGAAATTAACCAATGTGCTCTCAACTCATTAGGTTACAAATTTCCAATTGCTAAATATGCTCTGCATGAGCTTATAAAAGCATGCATCGAGTACAACTGCACTGTTAACTGATGATCCGACACTTTGTAATTCGACTTGTAACACCGGCAGCAGTCTTATAGGAAACAACACTATTCTGTGGGAACATGAGTCTCCTTCCCCGCTCTATTCTGTATATACCATCATTGTGTAGTCTAGATTTTATAATTACAATGTTTGGAACATTTAATTGACTTCATTGTGTTTTTACACTGTCACAAAATAATACATTAAAGTTATACGTACTGCATTAGAAAATAATGGTAATATTTTAGGTTGGTCAAAAGAATTAAGAAAAACCAATCTTGATAATCTCACATTTATAGTAGACTCCATCTTATCCGGACACCTTTTAACCGGACTACACTCGGAGGAAATGACGTCTCTTTAACATGACAATTTTTGTCAGCACATTGGTAACCGGACTAGATTGGCTGAAAGTGGACGGTACTGAAACGACTGTTCTCGTGGGAAAGATTTGAGACTAGTGATCACGCGTCTAAATACAATGCTCTCCTAAATTTAAGTCAAATATCACAGTCAACAGACCGTTTTAACGAGTTTTTGGGAACGTCGGTTCAACCGGAAAACCCAATATCCAGACTGGCCTTGGTCCCGAGGAGTCTGGATAAGAGGGAGTCTACTGTACTGTAATCAGACACCCATTCAGCCAAGTTAAATTCTCGTCCTGTTGGATTATTGAGAGAGACCACTGTATTTGTAAACACTATTAGCTTTCTAACACTGTAGAGACTCAAGAAAAAAAAAACCCATAACTGAACAGAAAAGAAAATATAACTGGGGGAAACTGTGCTCAGGTAGTCTCCGAGTTTAGTTTATAGAAACCACCAACTGACTTAACTTCCAGCCAGGATCACAATCACTTTAAACAATGTTTTGTTAATGTGGCCTGCTGTTAATGTTTTAAGTTTGATAATGACCAATTTAAGCGATGTTTAACTAAACGAGAGCCTTGAGAGGGAGGCTACTGTATGTTATTTAAAATTTTATTGCTTTTGAAATTTACCACAATATATTCTACTTCTTTTTTGCTGTATGTATGATACATCCTGTAATAATTGTCCTATATGAAAAATAAATTAGTTCAACATATTCATTCAACAAAGCATTACAATTTTCACTAATAATCTTAGATAAACACTGAAGGTGCAACCATGGTGAATGCTGTCGGCAGTATTACGATGACTTGTAGTTGGCAGGGCCATCAAATGTGCAGCCAGATCGCTGAACTATCTGTGTTGCAGCCCAGATACCGCATTTTATACACTCGTCTATGCTTGCTCCTTGGATAAGCTGAGCGAGAAAGCCTGAAAAAAGGGAATAAAACCTGGTTAGGGATCTCATGTGTTGAGTATACTGGGCTAAATACACCGGGTGTCCCACAAAGAGGTCCCTATTTTTGAATTGATATGACAGACGTTTAGATCACGCTACAGACTTGAAATTCTACAGTCGTGACTAACACAGGTGTAAAGGTGTTGCCCCCCGAGTCTCAATTAATTCTGACTGATCCAAACAGTGGCGGAAAAAACAAAACAAATCAGCAATCGTATTTTAAGGGTAAACCTACTTTTATTTAGAATATTTCTTTGATATTCCGCCATTTTGTCCTAATGTGTCAGAATTAACTGATACTCAGGGGTATTTCTTTTCCATGTGTGTATGTTAGGACTGTTGAGTTTCAGGTTTGTCGAGTGTTCGGTGCGTCTAATACATTTAGTATAAAATAGGGACCTCTTCGGGAGACACCCAGTACATTACTAGTATACCAATTTATCCATGTGTTACAGAGATATTTTGTCTCTAGAATAACTCCTTTGAAAAAGCTCTTCACTCAACATGTGATACTTTCACAGTTCATACCACTTTATGTTACGAGGGTTGTCTTTAAATTGAGGTATTCATCAAGCTTCTCAGCCAAGCGAGCTAATTCAAATTTGAGACCACCACTGTGTACCTTACTTCATGCACAACCACTCTAGCCAGTTTTCACTCCTATGGGACGATAAGCCTAGTCATAGTATTCGAAAAAGTCGTGAAAGAAAATTTACACATCCGCCAATTATCACGTTATTTGATTTGGTTTTTGTAGGAATTGGGTAAATTGTAAATCTCTGTTGATTGCTGTTGCCGGTTGACCATTGTGTCAGCAGAAAGTGTCTCAAAGTATAAAATGTACTGTAGAAAATGTAGAAAATGTGCTTAGGAGGTTTGTAGAACCATTGTACATATTTACACAATGGGGCTAGAAGTGTGCGTTTATCCACAGAAAACTTACTACTATAACCCAGAATGCCAACCGCATGGTAAAAAGCATTAAGCGGTTTGAGAGAGCTTTGCCTGTCAATCCGTAGGCAGCGCCACCAGCGTTGCCATGCAATAGCATAGCAACGCTGGTGGCGCTGCCTACGGATTGACAGGCAAAGCTCTCTCAAAACACTTAATGCTTTTTACCATGCGGTTGGCATTCTGGGTTATAGTAGTACGTTTTATGTGGTTTATCTGTTTTCATTGGCCAGAGATTGCATTGAGAAAACTATGCTTGCTGATCCACATTAGGAAGTAAGGATGTATCGAATCCGAATCTCGAATCCTAAGAAAAGATTCGGATTCGAGATTTGATTAGCGAGTTTCGATAATCTAATCTCAATCCGCTGACAGAATACGCCAATTTGCCACCAGCTCTATAATAATGTGTAGCAGCAGTGTCGATTTACACATAGCTGGAACAAAGCCAAACTTTGTCTCAAAACTCAAAGCAATCGCTTGAATTACGTCCTAGTAAAAAATTAATTGTATTTTAAATAGGGATAGGCCGATAACAGAATTTCTCTAATCGATACCAGTTCTGAAGTGAAATATTACTCACGACTCTCGATACCAATTTCATTAAAAACTTTATTTTTAAGGATGTTGCCGTGGTCAATATTTTGTTGTTTGTTTAAATTCAGAATCAGACAAACGGCGTAGTTCATGCCGACCCAAAATTATCGTATCCAGGTCTAATAAGTACCTAAATGGAATCTTTTTACTAAACGAAATAGTCGTAGAGTGAGAACATCCAAATGGAAGTAACACTGGCACGGCAACTCTGCTAGAAAATTTAAACGCTGTAAAATGTTGTTATGTTGGTACCACTAGAAGAATCGACCAGCTCATTGGCTGAGTAGTATTTGTCTGAGTTTGTGTAGCAAGCAATGGCTGTAACATGTAATATACTCTATTGCTTAACTAATTTCATTTATTGAAGTTGGTCACTTCAAAAGATGAATTAACATGTTTTTGTGTTGATGAGTGCTCAATCAGCTCAAATAAAAATTAGAGAATCATGTCAAATAGTTACTCCAATCCCAACCACATAATAGCCATTGTATCAGCTCACCAGCTCAACTGGTGATTAACCTTAGATGCGCGGTATTCGTGGGAACAACGTAGATGATCTGACCCCAATGTTGGAGGAAGGTCTACTGAAATCTAACGATGATGACAAGCTCGCGGAAACTGGAAAGGAACGGAAGAAAACAACTTTCCAGGGGCGAGTTGCGAAGACGGAGGATAGCGGATGCCTAAGCAAAAGGTGCTATCCAGAAGTGAGAGGAGGCTGGCGTGGGCTGCCAAGCATCCTACTCCCTGCAAAGCCAGTTCCTCCGGGAACCAGGATGCTGGGAAAAAAGCAGGGCGAGGGATGCCCCCCCAAAAACTGACTCTAGTGAAGCCTCTAGTGAACTCTAGTAACAAAGAAGTCAGGATAAGCAGCTGCCATCTTGAAGGCAGAGCCTTGGTTGCTGGCTGTGCTGACGCAGCCACAAAGGTTTGGCTGGTCAAACAAGTTCAGGAGCTGAGTCCCTTCGGGGAAATCTCGCTACAGCTTGCCCCAGCCAGAGATTTTGTGAAAGCTGTGAAGGTATCAGCGTTTGTTCCCACCTCAATGGGGGCAATGACCAAGAAGGCCTCAAGCTGCAGATTGACCTTGACAGCCTTGACACAGACCTCGGGACCTTGGGCGGTTGTCGGGGGGAAACTCAATCCCTGACGGACAATTCCTGGTCATGATAATGGTGACATACAGTCAAAGAGAATGCTGCAGACACCTACCGGTGCGATAGCGGTAGATGCCCTTGGGCTGAATAGGAAGACCCTGCAGAAGGTGATTGGCCTTATCAGCGGCCATTGGGTATCCTGCAGACATCTACACAAGATGCGAATAAAGTTGAAAGCCTCTTATGTGGGAAATGTGGAGAGGAGGAGGAGACAGCCTTCCACGTGATATTTATGTGCCCAGACCCTACGTATGAGATCCCTTGGCCTATCGACTGAGATCAAAGGGAACAACAGGTTACCATAAGAATCTCATGGTTCACCAAGGACCTGGGATTTGATGGAGAATGAGGACCTGTGAATGAGGGTGCACAATAAGCTGTTCCAGCTGCGATGCAATCCCATGGTCACTTGTAAGCCTGGCCCTCTGTTAAAAAAAATACCCCCGCCGCAGCAAACCTGCAGACTTAGCGAATTTCCATTTCCCTGATTGGATTTACACTAAAATGTCTCCTTAAAAAATATCACATCTATTCCCTATTTAAACAGAATTAGTTTAACGAGTACTTAGGTTTGCTGCAACAGGGAGGGTAAAAAAGATTTTTTTAAAAATGTAAAATGTTAAAAGGTACTGTAGTTTAGTAAGAAATTAATGTATTTTCCAAATTTTATCAAAATATGTCCATAAACAAGCAAACTACAACAGTTGACTTATTCTCTATAAGAATAACATGGGAATTTTAAAATAAAACATTTTTTGAATTTTATCCATAACAATTAGGCGCATAATAACGCTTCAATATACTAAATTATTTCTTTTTTAAACTCTTCAAAATGGTTTAGAAAGAAAAAGTGAAATTTTGTGTTTTAGGGTAAAAAATGGGAAAAACCTATTTTTACCCCATAAAACCCCGTTCCAATAGTCCGATCATGCTGGTTCGCGAACTCATTCAAGTTTATCCCGCCTTACACCTTCAAACCAAATTGTATCAAAATCGGACAAAAATTACTCAAGTTACCGTGCGGATGGACACATATATATATAAATATATCTCTATGTATAGATATATAAAAATTTGAACGAATGGTGTTTTTGGCCCCTGGGGACTTCAAAATGAAAAATTAAATCGGTTTGAATTTGCTAAAAAAAAAACCTATTAACATTTGACAAAAAAAACTTTTTTACCCTCCCTGTTGCAAACCTAAGTGCTCGTCAAACAATTATATTTAAATAGGGAATAAATGTGATATTTTTAGGAGACATTTTAGTGTTAATCCAATCAGGCAAATGGAAATTCACTTAGTCTGCAGGTTTGCTGTGGCGGGGGTATTTTACTATACGAAAGAGTAAGGTTTGATTGTTTTGTAGAATCTACAACGGCACTGTTAAAAACAACATTGTTTCGATTAAAATTTTACATACCTCCAACAAAAGCATCGCCAGCTCCATTCGTGTCTACTACTTGCTCCAAGGGGATCTTCGACACGGGAAACTCTCTTGTTTTTCCATCTGCAATGTAAAGAATTTTAGTCAAAAAATAAATAAATTTTGATCAATTTAGAGAAAGTACTTAGTGACAACATCAGTCTTAACACACAGCATGTTAAATTACACCCTTCTTTGGGGGCAAACAGGATCAGCTCATTTGTTGGCACAAGAGGTTAGAGATTTAAATTTTGAGGAATAATTTAAACAAACATACATAAGAAGAGATATCTTTTAACATTGTGTCCGCGATCGCAGCAAAATCATGAACATTTCCCGCAGCTGTTTCGACATCACCGTCATCTCCCGCGGTCACGGAAACGTTATCGTCGACGTCCGCAATCACGGCGAAATCATGAAATTTCCCGCAGCTGTTTAGACATCACCGTCATCTCCCGCGGTCACGGAAATGTCATCGTCATCTCCCGTCATCGCGACAAAATCATGAACTTTTCCGCGGCTGTTTCGACATCACCGTCATCTCCCGCGTTAACGGAAACGTCATCGTCGTCGTCCGCGATCGCGAAAAAATCATGAACATTTCCCGCGGCCAAGCAGATATCATCGTCGTCTCCCGCGGTCACGGAAACGCCATCGTCATCTCCCGCGATCGCAACAAAATCATGAACATTTCCCGCGGCCAAGCAGATATCATCGTCGTCTCCCGCGGTCACGGAAACGTCGTCATCTCCCGCGGTCACGGAAAGGTCATCGTCGTCGTCCGCGATCGCGGCAAAATCATGAACATTTCCCGCGGCTGTTTAGACATCACCGTCATCTCCCGCGGTCACGGAAACGTCATCGTCATCGTCCGCGATCGCGGCAAAATCATGAACATATCCCGCGGCTGTTTAGACATCACCGTCATCTCCCGCGGTCACAGAAACGTTGTTGTCGTCGTCCGCGATCACGGCAAAATCATGAATAATTCCCGCGGCCGTGTATACATCATCATCATGAACATGACATGGAAGTTGCTGTTGTGAACTTGACTATTTAATATGTGAACAGGTCTAAAGTATCCAGTGCATTTAAGAAGTTTTTTAATATATTCTAAGTATTGAATAGTGTTTAAAGTGCTACATACCTTAAATTTAACCATATATAAACATTTATAAGTGATAAATTTTGTAAAGAAAAACACAAGTTACAAGAATATTTGAAAAATAGTTTTCCACTTTCTACAGCAGGCCAAAACACATTGTTACACTGACTGGAGCAAACTGGCAGGAAAAGTATAAAGTCTTATTCATAAATTATTAATAAAGGTAAAAAGCATTTTGAACTTAATTTCTTAGCAAAATAAAATAATATTTTTTCTTTTAACACAATGAAAATTTTAATTTGTAATTTAAATTATACAAGAGATACCAACTACGGAACTCAAGAATCACAAGTAAACCTGTAACCTAAGGATAACCTGTTGGAGTTTGAAACCTGCTTCAGCAGAATCGACAGACTCCTTATCAGCTGCTTTGTTTACTCCGAGAACTGACCCTTCAACTGACCTACTAATAGAGCTATTGCCACAATATTCAAATATTTTATCACTTCTCATTACAGAATAGAGAACTATTGTTATTTAAGATATTACATAAGGAAAGCAATTTAATATTTTAACTGTAAATTAATATAATTGTTTTACTGGAAATATAAACTGCAATCAAAAGTAGTTTTGATTTTATTTTGTGTTTATGTTTTATACTTTTTGATATGGATAGCAAGGATAAAAAATGTACGATTCCCAAAGGGTGGAAAAGAGAGGAAATAGTTAGAAAGAAAGGGATTCATAAAGGAAAAATTGATGTATATATAACCTCACCGTCAGGCAAGTTATTTCGTTCTAAAAAAGAACTAGCTAAATACATTGAAGAGAAAAAACTTGTGTACAAAATTGAAGATTTCAATTTTTCTGTTAAGAAAACAAATCAAAATTTTCTGTTGGAGCCTTCTGGTGATATAAAGTCTGTTGATTAGGGATGGACGGGTCCCGAAATTTCGGGAATTTTTCGGGAAAAAAATATTCCCGATTATCGAGACGGGATTACATTTGACTCGGGAATTTTTCGGGACGGGATTTGGTCCGATCGTCGGCGATTTTTCCGCTTCGCGAGTGCCGATAACGCCGTTATTGCAAGCGACAGGTCCGCGAACAAAGGACACGAAGTCATGTCGACGATTAAGCCGTGACCGCGGAGTCCTACCGACGTCCGCGCCGTGACCGCGGAGTCCTACCGACGATCGCGCCGTGACCGCGGAGTCCTACCGACGATCGCGCCGTGACCGCGGAGTCCTACCGACGATCGCGCCGTGACCGCGGAGTCATGCTGACGATCGAGCCGTGATCGCGAGTCATACCGACGATCGCGCCGTGACCGCGGAGTCATACCGACGATCGCGCCATGACCGCGAGTCATACCGACGATCGCGTCGTTGAATTGAATTGAATTGAATTGAATTGAATTGAATTGAAAATGTCTTTATTCACATTATATACAGTGGTATACATCGAATGGCGTCATTATACTAAATTACAGCTAACAAACTAATTTCTTTACATTTCCTCCATAAGCCATAAGGTACATATTTAAAACAACAGTTGATCATCATAAACAACAAAAAGTATGGTTGTCAGAGTTCATCAAATTTATATAATGTTTTATTTGTCAAATGCAGTTTTAATTTTTTCTTAAACATGTTTACATATTTAACGTTTCTCAATTCCACAGGTAGCCGTAGTAAAAACTTAGCACCCGCATTTAATGGTTTTTTATTATAAAACTCTAGCCTGTGGAAATCAATGGCAATTTGATTTCTATTTCTTGTAAAATAGGAATGGCTGTCACCTAACCTGGGAACCAGATTGTTTATACTTAGTTTTTTAGCATGAAGTGCTGTGTGAAAAACATATAAACTGTAAACAGTCATTATGCCCAAATCTGTAAAATGCTGACGAACCGAATCACCAAAATTCAAATTCATTATGATTCTTATCGCCCTTTTTTGAAGAATAAGAATTCTATCCAAATTTTGTTTTGATGTACCTCCATAGATTTCAATGCCATAACTGATTGCTGATTCAATAAGAGAAAAATAAATTGTTTTTAATGTATTTACTGAGCAAAAATTAGACATCCTATATAAAGCATACAATCCAGAGGTGACTTTGTTAACTACATGATCTATGTGGAGATTCCATGATAAATTTTCATCCAATGTTAAGCCTAAAAATTTGGTAGAAACAACTTTTTCCAAAGAGTGGTTGTTTATTTTTATTACTGGATTTACTGAATTTTTACTTCTTCCTGCATTGAACATGATAAAATTGGTTTTACTTGTATTTAATAATAGTCTGTGATTATTTAAAAAGTTATGGATACCCAATAAAGCTGAAGAAGAACTATGTTCCAAATTATTTATTGTATTGCTACTAATTTTGAAACTTGCATCATCTGCATATAGACAAAGTGTTTTTGTTGAGCCATTTTGAAAAGAATGTGGAATATCTTTTAGATAGCACAAAAACAACAGAGGTCCAAGGATAGAACCTTGCGGGACCCCATGCTGCATCTGTGCTAGCGAAGAATGACTGGTGACTGTTTGATTATTAATGGTACTTTTTATTTCAACAAATTGTTTTCTATTAACCAAGTATGAGCTAATCCAATTTAAAGTATTGCCATTGATTCCCAGGCCTTTGATTTTGTTTAAAAGAATTTTGTGTGAGACGCTATCAAAAGCTCTGCTCAGGTCCAAGAAAATACCTATTGTTTTCTCTCCTTTATCCACAGAGTCAATTACCGAATTAATGAAATCTATGCCAGCAGTAATAACTGATCTATTTGGTCTAAATCCATGTTGTTCCTTATCATGCAAACAATTGGTTTCTAGAAAATGTACTAACTGATTGTAGGCTGCTCTTTCAAAAATTTTAGAAAAGGTTGGTAATAATGATAATGGCCTATAGTTGGCTAGATTTTGTGCATCTCCTTTTTTGAGGATCGGGATTACCTTTGCAATTTTGAGTTTTGACGGAAAGATCCCACTAATAAAAGAGGAATTGATTAAGTGGACTATTGGTTTTATTAGTTGATTACTTGCTTTCTTTATCACTATCATTGGAACCTCATCATATCCAGTTGAAAGTTTATTTGGAAAAGAACTTAAAATTTTTTTAATTTCAATTTCTGTAACTGGTCTAAATTTAAAATTTTGATTTGTGAAATTATTGAAACAAGGCAGAGCATCATTGTTATTTTGACTATTTGGATCTAACTGTGGAATTATCGAACGTTCAACATAACTGGAGAAAAAATCATTAAAATGTCTACAAATTTCCTGCGGATCTTCTAATGTATGGTCGTTATATACAATTTCAATGTTGCTACACTGTTTTTTCTTATTACCAATCTCAGAGTTGAGGATCTGCCAGGTTGTTTTACTAACGTTTTTAGATTCTTCTATTTTATTTTTATAAAAATCTTTTTTTTTATTAATTAAATTCTGTTTGTAATTTTTCCTTAAAGTTTTAATTCTGTTAAACATTTGTTGATCCTTAACAACTCTGGCTTCTATACTTAACTCTACAATTTTCTGTCTATCTTGTTTTAAATCAGGTGTTATCCAACTATCATTACAATTCCTGGACCGTTTTTTAACTTTAGGAAAAACTAAATTGAAATAGTACATAAAAATGTCATGAAAAGTATCAAATTTTACATCAACACTAGCATTATATACACTAAACCAATTCTGTCTTTCTAATATCGTACCAAACAATGACAAATTGCTTTCATTAAACACTCTAGTTTCTCTTGTCACATATTTATTTTTGTGCTTAATTTTGGCTTTATTTAAGTATTCTCCAACAGAAGGATCTACAGATACCATTAGCCCATCATGGTCCGATAATTGTGTGTCAATTCCCTCGACTCTAATTGAAAGCTCATCAAAATTAGTCAAAACATTATCTAATGCGGATTCTGTAGTACAAGTTATTCGGGTAGGAAAATTAACTAAAAATC